CCCCAAAACCCCAAAACCCCAAAACCCCAGACTAACTCCCCATTGAACTAAATCCCTCTTCCCACTTGTAGCCCAGTTTTCATGATTTTAGGGACTTTTGAGTGGAGAAGGAGGGGGTGGGAGGAAAGGGGAGACATTGGGGGTAGGAAGAGGGGTGGAAGAGGAAGGGATGGTAATTTTTCTTGATTTTGGCTGAACTTGTAATCTTAGTGCTAACTTTCCTCTCATTCTTCTTCCTCTTGAATATTTTCAATAAAAACGATACAAGATAATTTGAATTAAGCGATTCTTGAATTTTGTAGCCTCATATGAAGACAACAAGTGCTGCCTCAAAAAGCTCTCAGATAAAGGCTTTTGCTGAATCAATTTTCAAAACTTCTTAAAAATACTTAAAACCCCTGAATTTGCTGCAAATTAAGAGATTTGTTCTAAAATTTCTAAAATTACTTAACTAACTAAAGATACTCCAAAGTGCCAATAGAAAAATGTTGCTTACACATCTCTACAACTTCTTAATATATCATTATAAGTCAGGGTCCTGATAAAAAGATATGTTTATAATAAACCTGCAATTGTTGGAGATAACTCGTTAGCTAAAACTGTTTGCTATTTAGAAGGATTTCCTTAATAATAGGCTGATATACTCAAAAATTTGACCCATATCCCCATTAGCATACTCATGTAAATGTAAGTAATCTTTCTCAAGGCCACTTTATAACAATTTACACTCTTTCATCAAAAATGGCTCCCTAAAAAATTAGTCAGAAAGCCATAGCATAAGCATAACTAATAATCACAGTTAAATTATTATAGATCCCTCCATGAGCAACCATACTCCTCCGAGCATCCATTCATCAATGAAGGAACAGTATTATTGCATTAAAGTTGGTATTTCACTGCTAAAATTTGAAAGAGAAAATATTAATAATAAAATTAAACCAGATTAGTTCCTGAAATACCATTCCTCAAAACCTGGACTAAAGCCAGGTTTTGAGGTAGAAATACTAGTTTGACGTCAAGACTAATTTGACATATTTTTTAAATAAAATGTTTAGGGTCATCCGATGTGTGAAATTTACTACCAACTTTTTTAGAAACATTTTGAGTTATAAAGATATGGTCTTTTAGTTATCAATTTTACCGTTCAAAATGGTTGGAAAGGTTTTAGTAGAAATTTTGGTTATTTTAGAGCCGAAGAGTAAATGTTATCCTCAATGTATCTATAAGTGGCAAAATAATACTATATAAGATGTTTTTCTTAGATTTTTAGAGTGTTTTTTATAAGTTTCGATTGGACTTAATTTAATGCATCTTCAGCCACTTTATAAGCATCAAACTCAAAAATATGTGAGAAGTCTTCACCATTTAATGCATTTCTAATGCCTATTTTTCTCCTACTATATTGATTTTTGAAGTTTGCTCAAAGTTTTGAAGCCTCATAAACTATATTAAAACTTTGAAAAAATCTCAACTTCATTACTCCCCTGAACCGTCTAATTCTTTTCACATCTTACAAATCTCTATTAATTTGAAATCCCATAGTATCATAAATTTCAACCTCAGTATTCTAAAAAGCCTACTAAACTCCTTCAAATACTCCCCTCTGAGCAAACCTTTGACAAACAGCAATTAATTTATGAATAAAATAGCTCTAGCCTATAAGCCAAAGCCTGACAAACAAATTATCACCAGTCATAACTGAACTGAGGAAGGTAGGATAGGACTAAAAGTAAAGAAATTTTTGAGAATTTTTAGCAGAAATTAGGGTTATGAACCATTCTGAGTTGGCATGTTTAGAGTCTGATTGCAGGTATGGAGGAGACTGTTGAGGTAGTATCTGAAGGCTCTTTGGTTTATTTCTTCAACTCTGTTTTGATTTAGGTTAGTAACCATCTCTTGAAATCTCTGCTGATTTTTCCAAAAGGCTAAGAACATTTTTGCTAATAATTTGTTAGCAAATAGCTGGCTCAAATTTTTTTTATTAAATTTTTTAATACAATTGGTGAGCAAATCGCTGAAGACATAGCTTGAAGCAGTCAAGCCGGGCTGAATAGGCTTGAAAGTGATTAGTACTAAGAACAACTCTTTTAGTTGATGTGTCACTGATAACCCTAGCACTTCTTGGAGAAAAGTGGTAGACTTCTCATCAAGATGGTTACAGGAGATTCCATTCATCTGCTCATAGTTCGAGTACCTGCATCTCATCTGCTTGACTTCGAACTGGCAGGCTCTCCTAAAGAATCTGAGGATAGCTTTATAGACTACATCTTTTCTTGCGTTTGAATTAGTAAAATTTCTTTCAATAGTCTTCATTTGTCTTCTTGACAGCTTTATTGTTGAAAATGAAGATACCAAGCTGGTTTGTCTGTCTGATGAACTACCAAGATCCTCAGAGTATTCTGATTTGTTAGTATTTTTAGACTGCAAAAAAGGCATCTGTGAGAAAACCTGAGGAGCAATTGGAGTCCTCGGATTTGATGAGTCATGCTTCTGAAGTCAATATTTATCATCAGTTTTCATCTCACAATTCGGCAAAGATCTGTGAATTTTCTTATATTCTCATTGTCAGAAATCTTGAAGAGATACTTTTAGCTCCAAAATAGGAAAAATAGGAACCTTTTGAAACAAGTCTACTTTTTCTATAAGAATAAGTCAATAAGGGTCCTAGGTTGATTTCTAATGTTCTAAAGAATGATAACCAGGATATCTTGAAAAGATATTAAAGTATCCTTTAGTATAATTTTCTATTAATATCTTTTTCAAGGTTGTATAAAAGTGGCAAAATCTTGCTTATAAAAGCAAAAATAATTTTTCTTCTTGAGAAATTCTAAAAACCATCAGGTGTCCGTTTCTTTGAAGAAATTGATGAGATACTCCTTACAGTCCAGACTTAGAATATCTAAATGTACGAGAGCCTAAGATATCACTTTGTGAAATTCTCAAGCTTGTATGACGAGATTGAGGCTTATCCTAACACTTCTTTCAGAAGATGAATATTCAATAATGAACAAAACTTGGCTATTTCACTAGAAATTTCTCTATTCAGCCCCTAACAGCAAGTAAAACTTGGTTATCAGGCCGATTGCTGTTTAAACTAGTGTGTTGAGCTCAGACAGTAATCATTGGTTATTTTCACAAGGTCTTACCTGTTGAAGTTGCATGTAATGAATCGTACATTTGAATATAAATAATTATATATCTTTATTAGGTCAACTATTTGTACTGCCCACGGGGTTTTGGGGTTTTGGGGTTTTGGGGTTTTGGGG